TTCAGCAGGCTGGGCCGCGCCGGGGTATGTCACCGACGGGGACTTTTGTCACCTGCTGTCCTTTTCTCTGAACCTTTGTAAAACAAAGGGGCTTTGGTTAAAAAGCCCACTGTAAGGGCAGGTGGGCGAGAGGCTGAGCTGGTGCCAGCGTGCCGGTGGGGGGTGCTGCAGGAGACCCCTCTGCTTTGGGTGCAGTTAGGTGGTTTAACACAACAAATACCGAAGGGCAGGAGGTTGCATTCAGGTAAGACAATATGGTATGCATGGAGCTTTCTCCTGTACTTCTAATTACTTTGTGGCGTTGCATTAATTAAAAAAATGTTTCTTTGGCAAAGAAGTTTTGAGTCATTTAATTGCAAATTGGTACCAAGGGGGAAGTAGTCACAGATGGCAAATCGTGGTGGAACTGTTGCCTTGTCATAGTCAGCAAACGGGAGGACTACAGCTGGAAAAACACCGAGTTCAGTTACGGTGTTCCACCTTCAGAGGTGGATCGGTCTGGGTTTGTCCCATGGAGACCTGTTGAGCTGTGAAGTGCAGCTCATCCTGGAAAAGGAGCGGCCTCTGAATGAAGAACAAAAGAAAAGAAGTCTATTGTGTCATAGAGGCTAAACGCATTTTTTTAAAAACCTTTACTTTTAAAAGTCCTCAGCCATGTGCTTTGTGTTAGCCCTGGTGCTGCTCTCGCTGTTGAAGCGGAGCCCTGCCAGAGTGTTCTCCCTGCTCAGGAGGAGATGCTCGGGTTCACGGTTTGCGCAGGGTTTACGCTGTGGGCTGGAGGTACAGACAGCTCTGATACGGCCTGTTCCTTCTCAAACAGGCACGGAGTGTAATCCAGCTGAGTCTTGCTCTGCTTTGGTTTTCTGAGCTGGCTAGGGGTCCAGAGCACGGCCGCACGCTTCCCTTTGCTTGGATCCTGGGACCTCACGGGCTGGTGCTGGGAAGGTCCAGCAACGAGAGACGAGGCTTTGCCCTAAAGGGCACGTCCTGGTGTGCGGTGGATAGTCCAGAGCGTCGAGCGAAGTGATCTAAGGAGAGGTGAACGCTCTGGAGTGTTGGAGGAGCGAGGTCAGCGCTGTCCGTCCGCGAGCTGAGCGGAGGGGAAGAAAACCACCTGAAGCGTGGCGGTGCGCGTTCGCTCGTCTCGCTCTCCTCGCGGGCAGTCCTCTTCTTGCCTGCACGGGTTCGTGCCCTGGCAAAGGGTAGTTGGAGGAAGATGTGCTGCTTTAGCTCAGTCCTTTTCAATTTTTAGAAAACAAAGCTTTGTGGCAATTTTAAGCAAATCGGTTTCCTTGCATAAAAATTCTAAGGTAGGAGGGTGATCTACAGGGTCAGCTGTAGCTATGGTATGGCAGGTGGCTTTTCTTTAAGTCTTAATTAAGAAAATAATAAAGTAAAATAAAACTTCAGCCAAAGTCTTGATTTTACCAAATGAGTGAAAAGTCATTAGGAACGTGCTTATCTAATGGATCCTTCGCTCTTGTGTTGCAGATAAAAGAATATGAGAAACTGGATTCTGAGGATGAGCGTCTGACCCGAAGTCGGCAGATTTATGACACCTACATAATGAAGGAGCTCCTGTCCTGCTCTCATGTGTGTATCATCCAGGTTTCACGCCGCTCTCTGCCTTGCTTGAGTAGCTTGACAGGAGTGGTAGTTCAAACTAACGGCTGTTTCCTTCAGAGAGCAATTAAGACTATTGCTGAAGGAATTGTTCCCACAAATACCTGTAGTGCTGTGGGTTTCTGTCTGAAGTCTGTGGGACTGGCTTTGGCTGAAGTCAGCATGCTGCTTTTTTTTTTTTTTTTTTTTTCCCCCAGTAATGAGGTGTGGAGATTGGTGGGGGGGGTGTGCCAATTTTTATTAAACTTGGTGGTACACAAAGGAAACGTTTGGAGATTTACCTATTTTGTATTTCTTTGAACTAAACCTCTATTTTAAAATACAATAAAACAAGTGCAGTTGATGTGTATGTGTACTTGCACATAGACATACATTAACCAACCCGCCCCAACTGAGCAACAACCCTGACCCCAAAGACAATGTGAGCTGCCGGGGCCTCTGTGGGACAGTCTGGGTGTTGAACTCTGGTGTCCCTGAAGGCTCCGAGTAAAGGCTGAGATTTTGTTTAAAACCGATCACACAACAAAGGTGGTCGGGTGGGTTTTTTCATTATTATTTGGTTGGTCATAAAGCGGTTGTTGGTACCGCACTAGGCCAGACACTTCTCGCTGCAGGGTGGTAAGCTCAAGGTGTGGGGCCGTGTTGTGACGGGTGCAGCTTTGTTCCAGTTGGTGAAAACACACGTTTCCTCCGGCTGAAGTTTTGGCCCGTCAGTCTGTATTTAACAGCTACGTTTGCTCTTATTTTGAAGAAGAATTCTCTGTGGTTTGCCCTGTGGTGCGGCTCTTTGGGCGGAGGGTTTAAGCCGTGCTTTGTTACATATGTGCTATTGGCTCTGGAGCAGTGGAAGGTCCGTGTCTGCTTCTGCCCCTGGAGCTGTGTCTGGGCTTTTTCCTGAATTTGTTAAATGAGCATCATCTAGCCTGCTTATCTTCACCTTTCTCCTCCTCATCTTCCCCTCTCCTGCCCTCCTGCTTTCGAATGATTGTTTTACTGCCTCACTCTGCATGTTTCACAGTAACGTGCTTGGGGGAAGGTATGTCGTGCTCGTTCCGAGGTACGTGTGGTTTTCATATCGTTTAAAAGAACAACAGCGAAACTTCTGGCGTTTCCAACTGTTTGAAATCTTTCTTTTTCTTTTTCAAAAGCCTTTCTCAAAGCAAGCTGTAGATCATGTACAAAAACATTTAGCCAAGAAACAAGTGCCAGCCAGCCTTTTTCAGGTGAGGTTAAGACAGTCTGAATGTTCAAGTTTTCTTCACTTATTTGACAGTAAGTGACTTTGTACATGTTGTTTTAGGAGACAGAATAAACGGTACTGGTACATGTCTTTGCTGTAATAGTGATACTAGAATGCTTTGCTAAGTCAAATAAAAATTACAAATTACTATTCTTATCTCAAATATTTTAAGCACATTTATGAAAGCAAACTATACTTTGGTAGATGAGCAGAATAGTTTTTAAGTTTATGTAATCTTAAGCCATTACGTGATTTAGAGTAAATCACTGTACATCAGGAAGAAACACATCCTGTCAGGATAAACTGAACTGCACAGTGGAGAAATTGCCTTAATGTTTTGGTAATGTGAAATCTTTGAAAACACTTTCCCTTTTTCTTTAATTTTCAAGTATATTTATTCCTTGTTGATGTTGACATGGAAGTAAGCATTTGTACCACCTCGCATGTTTTTCTGTCTCTCCACAAGACAAAATCCAATCAAAAGTTACCTATCCAGACAGGAGTTTCTGCACCATTAATATTGTGGTGCTTTTTTAAAACTTTCTAAAATTCTGAATTGTTAAAAGAAAGTCTAGTATTTCCATATCCTCCATTTGAATGTAAAAATCAATGGTATCCTGTCTCATTTGTGAAATTACACATCTTTTGTGTTGTTACTTACTTTAGAAAATAAAGAAATGAGGAGTGAAATATTGCTTGTATTGTCACAGCTCTAATACACGTTGACACAAGACAAGAAATTCAGAATTAAGCTAATTTCTATAGCTAGGTGCATCGAACCAATGTGGTTTTGCAGGCAGTGAACCTCATCAATCCTGGGAGCGTTTATAAGCTTAAATTTCTTTGCTGTAGATCTTACACATTTTTATGTATTGCAAGAATGTGAAGGTGGCCCCTGCTTGATTTTTCTTACTGACGAATCGATAACCACGTTGCTGGAATTACCTCTCACCGCTGGGTGGGTTGGGCTGCGAGATGGCTGCGTGGCATCGCTCATCAGGGGAAGGCGCTTATTTCTCTAGAAAAAAGCCACTTGTGAGTGGAAGGTGCTGGTTTCTTACTGAGGACAGAGAGGAGAGAAGCACCAAAAAGATGAAGCCTGGCAGCAGCTCTGGGATGTACAGGCTCTGCAGGAGTGTGTTGTGTTTCAGTAGAGTGGAAAGAACCACCGTGCCGTGATTGGTTTGCCACACTGGTGGTCCCCAGAGGGGTGCTTTACCCAGGTTTCATAGAGCCCCCCAAGGGAAATACTGAAGGTGTCCCAGCTCGTTGGAAGTACTTTATGTCTGACTTCAGGGCACCTGCTCAGATTCCAAAAGCTGAACGAAGCTTGGGCACTTCACTGAGCCCTCTTCAAGGAAAGCACAGTAATGCTGTAGTGTGTAGGGCCAGCGGGAGTTCTGTGTGATGGGCAGTATTGCATGGTCAGGTTATTGTATGCTCAAATACTAATTGTGTTTCTTTACCCTTTTCAGCCATATATAGAAGAAATTTGTGATAGTCTTCGAGGAAAAATATTTCAAAAATTTATGGAAAGGTACGAATGTGACGTATTATCCAGACTGTCTACCTAAGGCAGCAGGAAGGCAGGTCCCTTGAGTGTTGCTGTAAAATAAGGCTAAAAATGTTTATTTAACTTCCTTTAATTAATAGTGTATTATCAGCAAGCTTCTGCAAATGGCTAGCTGTGTTGTGTATCATGATTACTGTCAGGATGTACAAGTGGAAGAATTGTTAAAGGTGATGGGTTTTTCTGTTGCTCCGTGCAGCAGTAATAATCGGTTGCAGTTTGATCTTGAAGGTTTAAAAACGCCGAGCTCCGTTCCCATGGGGTGCTCTCATGAGGAGCCGTCTCTCTCGTGTGGCCAAAAGGCCCAGTGGTTCTGGTCTGTATCGGGATGCCCTGCAGTTCGGCAGAAAGGGTCCGGTGAAGAGCACGAGGCGCAGGCCTGGCTGAGCTGAGCCGCCGTCGTGACCCGAAGGGAGCTGCTCCGGCAGCAGGGCTGTCCCCCGGCCAGCGCCGCGGGCCCCTGCGGAGCGGTGCGCTCCCACGGGAGGAGCTGTCAAAGTGCCTCCATAGAAATGTTATTGCTTACTCTGAAAATAAATACTTAATTATTTATGTAGAAATGAGAAACTGTTTTTTTTTGGCAGCAGCTTGTGGTATTATTGATGTTTTTCCTGTTTTAAGATGAGTTTAAAATGTTCCTTGGAGTATATGGAGGTTCATTAGCATAAATGGAGCTGCTTCTGTTTTCTTACAATTATCTTTCTCTTTATGTAATTTAAATGTTTGTTACTTCCAAACTTAGTTAGCTGTTTTTAAAAATTAAAACCCCTCTGAAAGAGAGATGCGAGGACATACCGAGCACTTGCAGTTGCAGGGGTAAGGTTACCTGATACCCTCCTCTCACAAGGATGTAAGATACTAAGTGTTCACTGCCTAGTAGTTGTTTTTCTTGGTAGGAGTAAGACTACAATTGTTTGAAAGGAAGGCTGTCATTTACTAGATATCACAACACGCCCTAGAGCAAACTTCTATTTTAAATATCAGTCTTGACATTTTCTATAATACTTTACACAATAATCTCAGACAACTTTTAAACTTTTTTTCCTACAGTGACAAGTTTACTAGATTTTGTCAATGGAAGAACGTAGAACTAAATATTCATGTAAGTACTTCCAAGTATATTTATCCTGTCAAAGGCTGATACAGGAAAGAAAATGTTCAGGTTTGCACGCTGCTTCTGAAAAGGCCTTAGGAAGGAATAGGGTGGACGTTACTGACCTGCTCCTCTGTCCCGAGACGTGCGGTCCTAACGCGTCCTTTCCGGACGTCCCTTCTGCCCGTCTTGAGTTAACGGCTTTTGGGGGTTTATAATGGCTGAAAGAAACCGAACCGCTGGAGTTGCTGCTCTGTGACAGCCCCGGGCACCGTCTGTCTCCTTTTCCCACTGCGGCTCTGCCGCTGTCCCCAGCGCCCCTTGCCTCGGCCGCTGCTCTGTCCCCAGCGCCACCCTGGTATCGCTGTGCCGGTGAGAACAGCCCTCCCGGCTGCGGGCTGCGCGTGGGTGAGACTGTCGGCCTGTGGCGACAGCCGGCTCATTCGTCCTGGTGTGCTTCGGGCTGCAGCGCTGGCGAGTACCTCGAAATATAAACGACAAGGGGCTCCTTCTTCCACAACGATAAATGCTGCATGAATGACGGTAGTTAAGTATCCTGATGCGTCGGTGGATTATTTAAGTATTTTTACAGTAAGTTTTTTAATGCTGAAAAGTGAAGCCTGGTTTTGTTTTGTTTTTTCACATTTACAGCTGACCATGAATGATTTTAGTGTACATAGAATAATAGGAAGAGGGGGATTTGGTGAAGTGTACGGTTGCAGAAAAGCAGACACTGGAAAAATGTGAGTATTTACACACTTTATTTTAGAGGCAATTGTAAACTCTGAAATAATAATGAGATCCTTCCAGTCATTTCTTACAAAATCACTGGAAAGCAGCATTGCATTACTGTGTAGTTCTTTGTAATTAATTTTTATCCCAAGAGGTTCTGATTTCTGGATCCTCTATAAGCGTAGATATTTGATCCTGTTACGTGCCATGCAGCGAGGCTTCGGTCTAGCAGAGCTCTTAAACGTGTCCTTCATTTAAATGGTCTTGTCAGAATTAATGGGAACTGCACATGTGTTTAAAATTAAGTATGTGCTTAAATGATTTCCTGGATCAGAGCCCGACAGTGCAGGACGATGTGGAAACCGTGGTGACCGTGTGAGGTGTGACCTCTCCTCTGCCGAAGGTCGCTCTTCTCGCCACAAAGCGCATCACGTAGCTGGTGCTGGCGGAGGGCTGGAGGAGGACCCTGGAACATGACCTCAGTGCTGTTCGATCTCTAGGGCCGTGCCTGGGCAGATTCTCAGCATGGTATTCCGGAGTTGTGTAATTGTATATGTTTCTGCCCTGATGAGCACACTTCACTGGCGAAAGCGGTGATCCTTGCTTATGTTTGGAAGAACGTATTTCCAGTGTTGAACTTCTGTTGGAGAGAGCTCTTGGTGGGAAGTCCAAGATCAACCCTGTGTGTTTTGTTTTTTGCTTTTTTCTGGGCTTAACCATTCACACACTTCTCCTGGTCATCAGATTTCAATTTCTAGGCATAATTATCCCATTAAGTTCTGTTGTGAACATCTGAGCATTGATTTAACAAATTGTTCTCATTATCGATCTATTTATTTATTTATTTACACCCCACCCCGCCCCTTTCATCTTGCATTTCTCCTAACAATTTTAGTCCAGGAACTGTCCTTAAACGTTTCTCTCCTAAGTAAGCATGGCATGTTTGAAGTGCCAAGTCTCTGGGGTTACAGCTGGCTTCACTGGAAGTTGTATGTGCTTGGCATCCTTGACAATAATAAACTTCTCAGCTATTAACAAGTGGAAGACATCTTAATGTTGCTATCACGCTCAGTATTTCTTCAGTGACTTCAAATATTTGTATTAATACTATTACTAACAACACTGTCTTCATTCTTGCTCTGGTACTTTTTTGTCCATGTACAGTTCGTTAACTTGTCCATGTACAAAAATAAACATTTTATTTAGCTCGGGCCACACTCAGTAGAGTCCACGCTGAAGAGGTAGTTCTCAGATTCCCAGTCATCTTCATGTCTGAGTTTTGCTCTGGCAGGAGGTGGATAAACCTTGGGTCTAGCAAGTGAAGCAAAGGACAGTTTTTATCAGCTATAAATAGAGTAAAAGGAAGCGAAGTGTGGGAGAACCAACCTTTTTCAAATTTGAAGCAAAACTTGTAGATTAGGTTCAGTTTCTGGGTAGAGGTTTGGTTTAGTTCTTTCTTAATCCAAACCTGTTTACCCATCCCTAATCCAGATCCCGTCCACTCTAGATGGCTGCCTCTGCTGCACTTACTGCCTGCAAGGAGCTTGGGAAGCCGCCCCTCTAAGGTAAATGCCATCGGTGTTTCACTAACCCACAAAGACACACCTGAGGCTTCTTTCACATCACCTCCTTCAAGGACACCTAAATAGGGGCCAGAAGTACGGTGCAGAAAGCAGTCCAGAGGGGAGGGATAGCAGTGCTTTTTGAGCACGCAGCAGCTCCCGGGAAGACCGAGATGCTGGATTTTGATCAGCCTTACACGGCCCCAGTCGTTCACTGTGATCAGTGATGTCAAAGCATAAATGCAGGGTAGCGTGTGAAATGTTATTTATAGTCATCGTTTACAGACTCCTCAGCAAGAGCACGTGCCCTGAATACATTCCTTGTTTTGGAAACTTAAAGCTCCGGTGTCTTCACGCTCCCTCCTCCCCCACTCCCAACACATGCATGGCGAGGGATGAGGTGGCTGTTCCAGGGAGCGCACGGCGAAGGTGACGCGAGGCCCTGTGTCTGTGCGGAGCTGTCACAGTGTAGGCAGTGGATTTGTTTGATGCAGTGCTGTAACGTGGTGTTTTCCTGAGCATAATTTGAAACCAGCAGCCTAAAAATCCATGGTTGCCCATGTCTAGAAGTCTCCCATGGAGGAACAGACGTGTCCTTCTCAGCTGTTGCCCAATAGCAGGGTCACCTGTTGCCAAAAATAGCCAGATGATATTATGTCCCACTCTTGTGTGGTGGTTGTTAGCGTAGCATTCTTTTCTGAGCAAAATTTTATTGGTTTGTGTGATACAGATGGTAGAAGATTAAAAAAGCTTTTTTTGTGTGTATGTCTGACCTTTTATTGAGTAGAAAGAAAATAATAAAAAAAAAAAATATATCTAAAACTCAGCGTGTGTTCAACATAATGCTTTCCTGGTAAGAGTTGAAACTGTGAGAATTAAATGGAACCGTAGCAGAGTCTCTGTTGTTTAATCCATACTGCAAGCCCTTGCTTCTAGGTATTAAAAAATGAATGTATGATACGTAATTCATGCATCACTGTGGTGGTTTGGACACAGAATTCTTTGTTAAAGCACATTTCTCTGTTAGGAGGCTTCTGTTGAGAACTTTTTAATTCTGTGAGGTTTTGGAGATTTAAGTCTTTAAGAACTGGCTCACAGGCCACTGTAAATGTGCGTGGTGTAACTGCTAGCGAGTAACGCTGAGTATAGGAGGAAATGTTTTCTGGTGCTGTTTCTGAATGGTTAATATTTTCAGGTATGCAATGAAATGTTTAGATAAGAAGAGAATCAAGATGAAGCAAGGAGAAACATTAGCCTTAAATGAAAGAATTATGCTGTCTCTTGTCAGTACAGGAGTAAGTATCATTGATTTGTTATTCTTTTCTTGTCTTGTTTTGCATATAATATATAAACTGCTGCATATAATACCTGTACCATCAATTCAGTTGTGTGACATGCAAAAGTTAAATCCCCCCCGAACCTTCCCCCTGGTTCTAGCAATGTGTCTGATATAAGAATGGAAGAGCAAGCTTGCTTTTCGCTTCGGGTGCTTACAGAAATGAGCACCTCAGCTAAAGAGGCTTTCTTCTGAGATGAGGAGACTCACTGAAATCAAGGCTGACCCGTGGTTGAAGTTGGTGATGCCGTTTCTTGGGTAATTCATTTTCTCGCGCCCCCGCCCCTTCTGATTTGTTACATAGTTCTTTTTCAACTATTTATATTTGAAATTTTTCCAAAACATTGTTCTGTCTTGTAGAAAAAAAAATTTCATTTTCTGCTGTAGTTATGTTGCACTTTCATAGCATATCAGGTGCTGTTTCAGAGAAAAACTTGAGTTCCCTGTTGGTCCTCCCTTTCCCGTGACTGCTGTTAGCTCGTCCAGCTGTTCCATGTTGGTTTTCGTGTCCTTTGGCTGAGTACCTGTCAAAGTGAGCCAAGCAAGTCTGCCCATCGAGCACACAAGTCTGCTCCAAACTCCAAGTGTCACTAATGTGCATAAAAAGCAGCCTGACGGGCGCTGGTTTCACCAGAGCGTGTCTGGTTACTGGCAGAAGAGATGTTCTTCGACAGTGGCCCCAGTGCGCTGGGCTCAGAGAGCTTCAGAGCAGGCTTTGAAGTGCCGGAGCCTCCGAGTACTCCGGCCTCAACAAACAGGACAGAAATCGGCTCCTATCGCCATGGTTACCTGCGATGTTGGTAAAAAGGTTACTTTTCCTCATGACTGTCGTGCTGTACAAATTAAAGATTCAGGTTGCAGCTGGCTGTAAAGACACCCCCTTTTCCCAGCACAGTTCAGGCGTGAGAAGGAATTGGGTGTGATTGTGTTCTAGGCGTGTGTGACAGGCAGGCGTGCAGCAGCGGATGCCTGCAGTGCGGGAGGATCCCTGCTCTGGCTGACGGGGTGGCAGAGAGCGAGTACTGTGCTGTGCTCTGAGACGAGATCTGTGTCCTGCAGTCATGAGGTAAATCCTGGCTTTGGGTCTGCATTAGCCAGGTGGTTTCTTTTTTAAAAACTAAATCTCGCTGGCGATGCCTTTAGCATCGATAAGTCCTTGAAGTGCACAGGCAGCATCCTCGCTGTCTGCTGCTGTTCAGGGAGCCCGTCAGTCTGATCGGGTCCGAGATGGGCTGACTTGTGCCCGCAGGTAGCCTGGCCCCTGCACCCACTGCTCGCGGGCGCAGCTGCAGGAGAGCCGCCCCTGCTGCGGTGGCCCTTGGCTTCTGCAACCCTGGCTTTTGAAATGGGAGAGGGGTTTTTCAGGGTTTACGTCTAAATGCAGAATTGCAATTGCTCAACAGAGCCCTTTCATTGTCAGGTGAAAACATGGTGAATCGGACAAGACTTGGCACTTTGCAGCTGCACGATAGGCTGCGAGGCGCTCGTGTGCAGATGGGCAGAACGAGAAGGCCGATGGCAGTTTTGTCGCTAGAAGATGAGCTTTTGAACTTTTCTTGCTACCCCTCAGACCGTAGGACAAGGAGTAATGGTTTTAAACTAAAAGAGGGCAGGTTTAGACTAGATATAAGGAGGACATTTTTTACAATGAGGGTGGTGAAACACTGGCACAGGCTGCCCAGAGAGGTGGTAGAAGCCCCGTCCCTGAGACTGTTCAAGGCCAGGTTGGACGGGGCTCTGAGCCCTGATCTGGCTCAAGGTGTCCCTGCTCACTGCAGGGGGTTGGACTAAGTGGCCTCTAAAGGTCCCTTCTGGCCTTTTCTTCTGCTGTTAGAAATATCCTGGTGAGGCAAATCCTAAACCAGAAAGGGAAGCTACGCATCAGGGTGTCGTCATAAGGCTGAACTTTTTCCTCATTGCAGAGCTCTGGAGGAAGGTCGAGGTGTTTCTTCTTGTGCCTTTCATTGGAAACTCCTCCCCTGCCTCAGCCTGGCTCGGGGGGAGGACAGGCACGTGCTGACATGAAAACTCAGGGAACTTCCTTTAGCCCGGACTTGCATTTGCGTTCGGCTTCAGCGTGAAGATAGAAGAAGGGTTGGAAAGTATTTCTTTGTCTTTTATCTGTGAAATTAACAACTGGGATTTATCGGTTGGACTTTGTAGTCAAGTTAACTGTTCTCACCAAAGAGAAGCTGTGCCTCTCCAGAAGCGTCAGGAGTCTTGAGAGCCAGTGGGGTGAAGTTCTATAGTGGAGACTAGACAAGAAATGTCGGCAAATTAGTAATAATTGTCCTATTAAATTAATTTGTGATTCTCTTGCTCCGGTACTGAATGTGAATTTTCGTGTCTTAATGATTCAGAAAGAAAATCATTCACCAGGCTGCTGATGGAGCTGGTTTTCTTATGTGACGGCACATAGCTCGTCATTCAGCAGCAGAAAAGCAAGACAAACCATTTGGTTCTTTCAGTAAGGATTAGCAGCTCATCAGAGTGTAACTTCTTTTAGATTCTCAGAAATTCGAAAGAGAGTTTGAAAAGAGAGATTTTGTGCAAAATGCCGCCCATTCAGGTTAGGTACACCTGCCGGTGCGAGAGACGCTGGAGCATTTTGAATATGCAGAATTAAATAGGTTTGAAAGTGGTAGAAGAAGGTAATTAATTTTGTTCCTGAATGTAAGCTGTTGGTTTGAATGGCGCGTGCCTTCCCCAATGACAGGTTTTATGTGCTGCCCAGAACAAAGCGGAACTGGGAAGTTCATCATAGTACAATTAGTCATTTAACTGGGAATCCAGATGTCTCTGCAAAGTACATAATAACAGCTGTGCAGATTACACATACGTTTGTGTAATCATTTTTGTTAATCCAGCTAAAATATTGGCATTCACAACTGCTGCCTGAATAGGGAGCTCCCAAATTTGAGTACATCGTGGCCGCGTTGTGAGAATAGCTTTTCACGGTGACTTTTCGAATCGGCACAGCTTGGGAGGACAACAGACACCTCTGCTGGGAACTGCTTGGGTTGGCCTGGTCACACAAAACTCTGGTTACATGGATTCTCCACTGGTTTCTTTGCCTTGTCATTGACTGTTGGTGTCACACGGACAAACTCTGGCTGAGGTTTGTGTTTCCTCTTCTGCCAGACACTGGCCCTGTTGTCCTCTCCCAGAGATGTTCAGTCTGGAGGCTGGAAAAGCAGTTTGAAATTCTTAGAATGTAGCATAGTAGGGAAAATATTTTGCTTTCTGTTGAGAAAAAGAAAATTCTGCAATAGCCTTATTTGCCTAGTGTTCAAAAACTTGACATCGCCGAGACCATCGCTGCTGAGGGAGTGGCTGTATAACAGCAACCTGCCAAGAGGTGCTGTTTGGGGAAGGAAGTGGTTATTCCATAAATCTTTTCCCAGTGGGCATGAGGTCGTTGTTCCGGCGGCCTGCTGCAAGACCGGGGCCTTGCCGGGCTGGGGCTCCACTCTGCTGTGTCTTCCAGTTCTCTTGTTCTGAAAAAAGTAGGCAGCTAAGCTGTTTTACTCAACTCTTTTTGAGATGATTTGACTAATGACTGGGTTCGAGTTTCTCTCAAGGGGTGATGAAGGTACAGCAAGAGTGGACAGGCTGAACAATAAAACATCGCAGATCAATAATGACCTGTTGTTTCTGAGAACAGGTACTTTGTTTTCCTGTGTACCGAGATTTGTAGGAGTCTCGATTTTGCTCAAAAAACGGAATCTATTCCTAAATCTTGATAGTCACTTGAAGGAACATCGGTGGGAATGGCAGGTAACCGCTCGGTGTTTCAGGCATTGACTGGCACGTCTTTCTGAGCGAGCCCTGTCAGGACGGAGCTACTCTGTAGTTACAAGTGCACACAGCTGCTCTGCGCTGTGAACATGGTTTTTACCTGTTTGCAGTCATTTCTGTGGTCGTGCTCTGAAAGACCGGGTTACAGGCGAGAGCCAGAATCAGAGGTTTCCTTCTGAAGTAATTGTTTGTGCATTGATGTCTTTAAATTATTAGATTCCTACAATTTTTTATAGTTACTCTGTTTTGGTTTTTTTTCCTTCCACATGATTTATTACAAGAAATTTGTCTTCTGCAATTTTGGGGACTTAATCCAGGATTGTTTGGATGTAAGGAACTTAATTCACACGTTGTTGTCATACTGTTGCTTATTTTTTTTCAGAGCAGAAGCTTGACTGCAACAAAGTATTATTCTCTTGGGAAATATGCTTTATTGCTCTATGTTTCATTTTAAAAGTACCTATAGGGCTATTTTTTTTTATTGTTATGCTGGAAAATACTCTTTTGCAGTGGTTTTTGTGTCAGAAAAATATCTCAGTACTACAATTTCTTCTCTCTGTTAAACAGTGAGAGGGTAGTGATTGAACGAGGAAGACTTACACAAAAATGAATTATGCATCACATTTACACTTGCAGCTTTCTTCTCTTTTAAATACGAGATCCCTGCAAATACAGGCATACCATGTTCTGGTATGGAAACACCCGTTTGTTTTTCTACGTATGGTGTTTAAATTCTAGCACTAAATCCTTCTGGGTGATGAGATGGCTCTGAGGTTTTAGGAAGCCTGCTTGGGGACACTTCTCAATCATCCAGTTGATTCAGAAAATTAAGTCGATAATTCTACGGAAGCTTTTCTTCTGAAGTCAAGTGGTAACTTCTGCAGTCGGGAGCAATACCGAGTTTATAACGCGGGGTGCTGTCTCTTGTTAGATGCCGTGCCGCCTTGCCCGTAGTCCCTTGTTGCTGGGCCCGTTGGGCACCGAGGCGTTTCTCGTGCGGGTTCCTGCAGGGTGTCTGGGGTGCGTGCGGCCGCGCTGCCTTTGGGATTGCCGTGGCGCGGTGAGCAGCAAAATCCAGCCGGGCTTGAGGGTTATGGCAGGACCAGCCCACGTGGCGTGGGAGTCACCGGGGATTGCGGTCGAGTCCGTCAGGCTTTGTGTTTCAGCCTGGCCTGGCTTTGTGAAGGATGAACCGACTTGAACTGTCCTGGCCGGCCGGGGGGGACGATGTTGCCGTTCCCTCCCTTTCCTGCTCAGCAGGGCTGGCGTGGCAGCACCCCGACCCAGGTCCCGCAGCCCCCGCCGTGCCCAAGGCCACCGTGTTTTGCTGCTTCTAAATTGGGAAGGAAGTGGGTTCCTGTTAGAGATTCCCAGAGCTTTCACTATCAATACTGCGATAATTAACGCATTGTTTTAAGTCACGTTGGGTCACGTTCGTGCTTCCTGCGTGGTGTCCTGCCTCGTCAGCAGTTGAGCTCGTCTGGGCTCGTCTTCACGTCAGCCTTGGCGCTTTGGGGTCTGACCATCGTCCGTCGGTACCACGGGCCAGTCCAGTCTGTTCTGACAGCACAGCCCTTCCTAAGTTTTCGCTGTAGACTGACCGAGCAGCCCTGGTTGCCCATGGCTTTGGAGAAGGGGTTGATGAGGTAATAGCCACCCCCTGTTAATTAGCCACTTGCATCCGATACAGGCCTAATGAAGCGAGGAAGGTCTGCCGACTCCCCACCGTGGTGCCTTTCAGTGTGTCTGCGTTGCAGAGGTCCCAGCCCGCTGAACCTTGGCGGTACAGAGGTGTTTTTCCAGCTGTATTTTTTTATGGCTGCTTGTCTTAAAGATCGGTGTGAGTCAAGGTGAAAGCGCATCAAGCGGTGGGAGCGTACACCGTGTAACCCACCCCCTCCGTCCATCTGCACCCACCGTACTCGTGCCCTGGGTTTTGACTCACCCGGACCTTCCTGTTCCTGCTGCCCGTGCGCTGCCTACGCGTCGGAGCTGCGGCTTCCTTCGGAGGGGATTTATGTGCCTTTAACTCACCTGTGGCAAACGCTGCTGGAGAGCTGAAGGGCGGCAGCGTGCCTGGCTGCCCCCGGCGCGCAGCTCTGCGGGGGGAGTTGAGCGGCGCAGGCAGGGGGTTGCTGGTGTAGCTGCGTTTCATGTGTAGGTGAGGATAAAACTCTCGTTCCTTTCGGATGTTGTATGTGATGTGACTCAGATTCTCGGTCGGTGTTCCAACAGCTGAACGGTCGCCACGCAGTCATGGGAAATAGCGTGCGTCCTTTACACTTCATGGGAGCAGCTTCATTTTCTGCTGGGCTGGCCTGGAGCTTGTTAGCTTTAAAATGTCTTTCATGTAAGGCTAGCGCAAACTCAGGTAAATATTTTTAGAAGATTTCTAGCTGCTGTAGGTGCAAGTCTTCAGAAGATAGTAATGCCACCTGCATTTTTTAAGGCTTTGGCTCCTCACAGCTTTTTAAAATATTGTATTGAAATGAGATAGCAAAATAAAAGATCTCTAAACTGTAAGTGAAACATCTGAGTATGTAATTAGTACACAAACGGCTTTAGAAAATTATTATGAATATTGGCAAATATCATAGGGAAAATAGCACATGTATTTTTAGCTTCTCTAAGTAGTGCTTTGCTTGTTGCCGGAGATGAACTCTGCTCCTTTCCTTCTAGGACTGTCCTTTTATAGTGTGTATGACCTATGCCTTCCACACCCCTGACAAACTCTGTTTCATTCTGGACCTGATGAATGGTAAGCAAGACTCATGCAGATGATGATCATATTACAGAAATAGTGGCAGGGATCACTGATTGCTGAGATCATAAGGAAAATGAGGGAAAAATAATGAGAGGTGTGAAGCATCAGCCTGCAAGCAGGAGGGATAAAGTGATCTGAACCAGGGAATGTATAGAACAGACTGGAAAATCTGTTACCTTATAACATTAACATATCTAAATAAAGATACCAAAGGGTCTGCTAGGCTGGAAGCTTAAGGAGATGATGGTCATGTGGAGAAATGTGTGAGGAGATCAGGGACACAGCTTTCAGAATAAATATAGAAGGGCTGCTCTAAAGAGCTCTGCAAAGAACAGCGATGGGGGAAGCGTTCCTCAAAGGAAAGAAATGATACCTAGAAGCCTCAGCATAACTCTGGTGAGCGCACATGGAGAGAGACGTTGGCAGAGTTGAGAGAGAAGGTGCTGCAGGGCCTGTACTGGCTGAGGGTGCTCAGGACTTGTGAGACTTAGACTGGAACCCCGACTGTGGTCCTGCAGCGAGCACCTGAAGATGTTGGGCCCAGCTGCACGTTCCGTGTTGCAGAGCTGGAAGTTTAATTAAGAAATGGAGCTCATATCCTGTAAGCAGTAGAGACTGGCTTTGGTGTTTTGCAAGTGAAGATTCTCATTAAAATCTAAGCTGTAGGTTCAATTCAAGTAACTGGTTGATTATTTTAAATCTGTAGCTTGATCAGAAACCATTTCCTAGGAAGATTCACAATTTGGTGGGGGTTAGCACGCAGAGTGACATTGTATTGTGTCTGGTCTTTGATTAGGAAAGTGTGAAAACATCCCCAGCACAAAGATTTGAATATTTTGGCCCAGATGACCTTTCAGGGTCCCTCCCAGCTGGGGCTGTTCTATGTGCCAGTTCATTCAGTTCTCCAGAAACCTGTGCCTGTGACTGCCTTTTACTTGCTGGGGAAATCCTTTGCGTTAAGACTCAGTTGCTGGATTAGTCACTGAATGCAAATGTATATGAAGTAAATGCGGTTTTAAAATGGGGTTGCAGATTGATCACATTTATTTATTAACTTTCTCAGGTATTTTGTCAGCCTGTGTACTTGCAGAGTATAGGTCTGGGTCTCTGTGTGCTCCTCAGATTGTAAGAACCCACAAATGCTATGCTGTTCTCCCACAAGTTCATGCTGTCTATGTGTGAGGCAAGATTTTACTCTTCTTTTAATTGCTTTCCAATTCTTCTAATTTTAGGAGGAGATTTGCACTACCACCTCTCCCAGCACGGGGTGTTTTCTGAAAAAGAAATGAGGTTTTATGCTACTGAAATCATCCTGGGTTTAGAGCACATGCACAATCGCTTCGTTGTATACAGAGACCTAAAGGTAATTGCTCACATGGTGGCTGCGTTCACCCAGGTGGTTGTTAGGTAATAACCCAGACATACTGGGTTAAATGAATTCTCTTACCTGAAACATTTTCTTGGCAATAATACAGGTTATTTGTTCATCTTCGGCTGGTTTTTCCTAATAACTTTTCAAAATAGTTCTAATCTGTGCTATTATCCAGTTTAACTGGCCTGGGAGACCCTTTCTGGGGGTCAGAATAAATCCTGTGCAGTGTTACTTATCTCACCCTCTTAATGATGCTGTTAATGTAGAGAGTATAGTGTGTTTGGGAGCCCTGAGAGGGGGGTGTGCGTGACAGGAGACTGAAAGGAAGGCAGTTGCTGGGGGGTGTTTCACTGACGACTGGGAGGTCGAGGACTGCTCTGAGAGAGGTGTCCAGGAGCCAAGTGATGCCAAAAGTGGGGGAAAAAGCCTGCACAGAGCCTAGGTTGCAAGTAAAGGCTGTAAGAGCCACACACACACAGACCCTTCTGTGAAAGAACCCAAAGCCATGTGGACTTGAGGCCAAAAGGGATTTACTCTTCCATGTGCTTTCTGTTTCAGACCTGGCCTGGTTTTGATCTTCTGTTATTTGTCAGAATTTTGTAATCTGTGGAGTTGACGGTAGCGCTCCGTTAGAATGCAGATTTTATCTAGAAAGTGCCTGTTATATTGACTTAAAAAAAAAAAAAGGAAGAAGAAAAAAGGGCCATTACTAATTACCAGAGAGCGTTGCTGTTTGAGAATGAGATACTGTGGTCCGAGAATTTGTAGTTCTATCAACTGAAAAATGCCAAGCGATAACCTTTCTGTGTCTATGGATTTCTAGCCTGCAAATATCTTGTTGGATGAACATGGGCATGTGAGGATATCAGACCTTGGGCTGGCTTGTGATTTTTCCAAAAAGAAGCCACATGCTAGTGTGTAAGTATTATGTCCGGGAGCTTTGCTGCACATACAGTCATGGCTAAATAAATCCTTTCTGTGTCTTCATTGTTTGACTTTGCCGAAAGGGAAGTAATGACACTTGTGTGGCACAGCCTTGCTTTATAACCCAGCTAGGCTGGATCCTCTAGTAAGGCTTTTCAGTCTCCTCTTTCTGTTTTCCTGCACAGTTGTAGCAGCTGATGTGTAGGCATGGCTGGAAGATGACACATTGTTTTGAGATGATTCACTGTTCAGATCAGAACCTGACTGGGTTGAAGTACCAGATCGTTTTAATTGTCCTAAATGGATAATTAAATATTCCAAAACTGACTAAAACCCAGGATTTATTGTGTCTTTCTCTTTCTGGACCTTTGTAGAACTGGAAGCAAATTGTGTTCCTTTCTGCCTCTTGGCATCAGGTTGTAACTGGGATCTGAATTTCTGGGGTTGGGTGTGGGTTCCACATCCTATCTGGTATGTTTTATTCTTGGGTCCTCATTTGCCCTGACTTAGACTCAGAATATATGCAAAAAAGAAAGCTTCATCCTGTCCTGTCTTAAAAGATTTGCAATTCAGTAGCTTCTTGAAAAGGTTCATACGTTCCAGTTACGTCAGGGGTAGAAGCAGCACGTGGTGACTTGCCACGGCTTCTGGAGGAGGTGTCCCGTGGTTCAGTCCAGCACGCGGCCGTTAGCTGGAAGGAGACCCCTGAAACACACGGAGAGCGCACGAGCCGGCTCTGCTCGCCCTGTTTCTGGGGCTGTGGGCAGGAGCAGGGCTCAGTCCTGCTGGGCCCAGGGCTGGTCTGTTCTGGCCTGAAGTACTGGGAGCCCTGGCTGTGTCCTGGTGTCTGCCTGTCCTGTCACCCGAGCGGACAGCATAGGGGACCTTGTCACCTCCCTGTGGTGTCCGCTCTCGGACAGCAGGCTGCTTGCTGACCCCTGTGCTGGTTCTGCTGCATCTCGCTGTGGCTGCTTCAGTTTGCCTCGTCAGTGCTGCTGTTCTGCTCTTTAGGGTTTAAGGTGTTTCCTCAGTAGATGGGCACAACCAAAACATGCGTATGTGTGTATGGCCAAAGCAAAGGCAAAATAAAATAATGTTTAAAATGAATTATTTTTAAATTAGGCTATCTTATTGAGAAAACACCGATTTTTAATTATCGCTTATTTTTTTCAGTGATAGTTTTGGTCATAATCAAGATCTTGTCCCTTTCACCTTCTCAGAGGTACCCACGGATACATGGCTCCCGAGGTGCTCCAGAAGGGCACGGCGTACGATAGCAGCGCAGACTGGTTCTCCTTAGGCTGCATGCTTTTCAAACTTCTAAGGGGGTGAGTGACCTTCCATGTCCCTGTGCTTTTTGGTTTTAGCCCGGGGCTCGTCATCACCTGTCCCTTGAAATGCTGATGTGTAAGGTATTCTCTAAAATGTTATCTTACTGCTGTCTCTGCAACCTGGACCACGTCTGCCCATGAGACTAAAACAGGCTTTTTTTTGCTCCCAAAACAAACAAAACACAAGCCCTGCTTCCTTTTGCAGGTGCAGGTGTGGGGCAGTGAGGAAGGCGGATGCTCTATCTGCTCTTTTGAATCCTGCTGATAGGCAATTTACTCATCTCTTGGCAGTTGTTAGTGTTTTAAATGATTTGATGTTATTCATCGCTTAAATGCAGTAGTGGCCCTGTTAGATTATGGGCTTTGTTTTGTGCTTAAGACCTGCTGTTACAGTGAGACTCTTTGCTGCACTGTTCCCTTTTCACATGGCACTCAGTCTTCCCTTCCGTAGTGTTTGGGTAAGTTACAATGGTGGATGCTTCCATTTGCGGGATTTGTCTGAACAGTCTGTAAGCACTGACTGCAAGTGTTTGTGGAAAGTAGCATCCTCAGTGTTAATGGTAGAGCAGAAATCTTTTAAGCTTTTCAGAGTGCTTCTCTGTAAAGATTGGTCTTTAGTTAGATCATCCTGTGTCCTCACACAGAATTACAAGCTCTTACCTCTGTCCCAGGCACTGCAAAAAGGAAGGTAAGCGCGTGACTTCTGAATTGAGCTACAGAGCTGTATCAATTTAACATTAATTGTTCACAAAACCCACTAAACGTGTGCAAATAAGGAAAGAAATGCTGGTTAAATTGCCCCCAGAGAAGTATTTCTAAGTACAGACCGCATCCCGCAGCTGGGAGCATACTGTGTCTCTGATCACTCACGGACGATTCCTGTAGGCAGCAAGACCCACGACAGTTCGGGTTTGCTGGGCGGAGAAGGGAGAGCGTCTGTCACACGCAGGACCACTCTGACCTCCTCGTCTTGTCTTGTGAGACCTTTTCCTTTGGAGTCACTTGGGCACAGAGCATTAGGGCATCCCACTGACTCTGGTGTGGTTCTTCCTTCACAGGGCTGCAGCTGTGTGCTGAGAGAAGTAGCACCTAGGGGCAAGTGGTCCTGCTCGCCACGGGAACGGGGACTTGAGAGCAGGGACAGCTCTGTCTTTGTGGGCCCTGGGATGTGCGGGGTGGTATCGGTGACGGGCCAGAAGGCAAAGCATTATTCATTGTAAACTGGCCTTCCTCATCTGTCCTGAAGCCAATTAAACAACTCACGTCCCAAAGCAAGGGTTGGGCACACGGTGCCATTTCTTGGTGTTAAGTAAATTTAATCTGGCATAAAATCTGCCCGTAAATTCCCAGAGAATCATTTGCTTCCCTGGTGTACTCAGAGCCTCCCTGTCAAGTGTATGAGGCTGCACGTTGGCCATTTACTCTTCTTACCTGTTGTGCTTAAAGACGGAACAGTGGAAGTCCTGGTCTGTCCATGAGAGCCATTCCTCAGAAACGTTTTGTGGATAAAAGGGAAATAACTCATGGAGTAGCAGGTCCCCAGCTGAAACAAGCTAGTACACACTGCTGTGTGGCAGGACAAAATGCTTTGTAATAGCTAATTAATGTATATTAATTTTGAAAAATATTCTTCCCTCAAGGTTTTGAAGAAAACTAAGAAACAGGGAATATATCCTAAATCTCATTTAAAAAATCTTGTACTAAAATGTTTCTGCTTTCTTTCATGCTGTTGTTTAAGTACTGCACGGTAGAGCTCTAATAACCGAAGGTCTACTATAGCTAAAAGGAAAAATTCAAACTTAAACCAGAATTATGAAGCAGGAAAGGGATAAAGCGGATAATTTACTGGATATCATCAAATACCTTCCCAGTCATTAATGCTGTGGTGTCTGTGACTGCCTTCTCTTTCATCTACTTACCTTAAGGTCTTGCTTCATTCTTCCCATGTAGATGTGGGGTAAGTTCTGTAGGTTGTACTCAGCTTCCGTAGGTAGATCAGTGTTTTTAAATACCTGTGTAGTGATGGCTGAGCAGGGTTTTCTTGTCAGATGAAACTGTTCTGGTTTTGGGCAGACAGAGATGTAGTTGGTAAGGGATTTGAAACACTGTCTTTAAGGATGGATCACTGCATTTAAGAATAAACTGCAGTGCCGTTGTGCGGAGTAACGAGGTCGGATCTCCCGACTTTGATGATCCTCGGGGATGTCTGTGTGTCGTCTTTAAAGAAACGGAATGGTTACTTTTCTCTGGGTTTGATTTTGATGGCTGCCCCGTGCAATTGCACCGAAAACAGAAAGGATAAACTTTCTTGCAAAGTGGTGCAGCTCTTTGGAGTAAGAAAAGAAAGCAAACTCGTAAGAGATCAAACACTGATGGTTTTGAGGTAACCAGTTCCCGCAGTGTGCTGGTGTGTAAAGTCTCGCTTCTTGTTGTAAATGCTGAGTGGTTTACTACTTGTTTTGTTGTTCTGCAGGGCAGGATTGATGAGGTGGAAGAATGGGACTAACAGGATGCTACACTCTTGCCTGGGGTTGCCACAGCTGAAATGACCTGATATGTTACGGCTTTACATTTATTAGTGCGTTTTCTTATTTCTACAGTCACAGTCCTTTCAGACAGCACAAAACCAAAGATAAGCATGAGATCGACCGGATGACGCTCACCGTGGTAAGGATCCTGGTGACAGTTGCAGTTCCTTTCCTCGTGTTTAGTAAACTCCCATTTCCTCTAAAAACGTGAGCAGTTATGGCCTGCTTTCTGAGGAAGCTGTGTGTACACACGGGAGAGCTGTTTACAAGCACTGTCGAAGAAAAGCAGCTCTCCTGTATGGGGAAGCAGATCACACTACTGCTTTCATTAAAGGTCTCTCTCTGTACTTTTTTTTTTTTCATAGAATGTGGAGCTACCGGACTCCTTTTCCCCTGAACTGAAGTCCCTTTTGGAAGGGCTCCTGCAACGAGATGTGAGCAAGAGACTTGGATGCCAAGGAAGAAGGTAGGTGTTGTCTTCTCCTTGGACTGCTGCCTTTAAAAATTTCCACTTCTCTGTAAATGAATGAATTCATTTCAAGTAAAAATCTGCCTCCTGTTGTGATGGGTTTAATTTTGGAAAGAGACCATTAAAAAGTGCTGTCACGGGGAATCACATTTCAGCTCCCTTTGGTTTGGACAAATTTTTGGACAGTTTCTGTCATTGAAGGCTTCCCCCCCAAGTTCTCTGCGGTCATGCTTACGTTGGGTGGTGTTCATGCTTTTCATCCCTGTGGTGTTTTTATGTTTTTGCCTGATCTGTTTAGGCATGAAGTCGTATGACTTGACTCAGACATACCGATAGCTAAAATTTATTGCTTATGTTATATCTGTAATGATACGAGCATATTACACACAAAAACCCCAATCCCAAAACCACCAGGCACAGAAAGCTGTGAATACTGCTTCATTTTGTGTTGCCTCTATTTCCTGAGGTACCTGTTTGATGTCATGATTCTAAGGAAAAGGGCATTTCTTTGTTTATTGACTACAAAACACTGCTGCTCCTGCCAAGCTTGCTGTGCCCATGGCTGTTAACTGGGATTGTTGTTATCACTCAGCGTGTGCCTCGCGAGGCTAGGAGGGGAGGCTGAGGGGACTAAATACCTGTTGAGAAACCCTTGGCAGTGTGAGATAACAGTTAATGGGTAGTCACACCTGAGACTGGGGCTGGCTCTGCTTCCAGCGAGACATTCAGGGGTTTTTTTAATCACTGAGCTCTCTCTGTGACAGTGACCTGAGGTTGCTTTTCAGCCTTGGGTTATCAAGATTCGTTTCTTATTTTGCCATAAACCAGGTTTGATATGAAATGATGTGGAGTAAGCTTGTTCCTTAGAAGTAGTGTATGGATCTGACAACAGACGAGTGTTGTTTGTTGTTTGACGTGCTGGAATACCGCAGCAAAACACGAGCGTTTTGGACTGCCTGCCAGACCTACAGCACTAATTGTAGTGTTTCCATATGAAAGTCTGCTCTTCTGTTGTTTATTTAGGAAGACCTTTTTTTTTATCTTGGAAAAAAAAGAGCCTTTTACTGATGTTTTCAAGTAATAGAAATGTGACCTTTGAAGGCTTTATATTTCTCAAATACATTTGAAAAGCCTCTTAACTTTGTTGACTTCAGTTACTTTTATTTTGCAGTGCACAAGAAGTAAAAGAACATCCTTTCTTCAAAGGCATTGACTGGCAGCAAGTCTATTTACAAAAGGTAAAGGATTAAGATAGTGACCTTAGCTTACGTGGTGAAGCAGTGAAAGGAGAAGAAGCCTCAACAGGTAGTAGACAGAAAACTTCAGGGTTCCACTCCCCAGCACATGTACTCATTTGCTCAAATAGGTTGAGGATTGTTGATGAAATCTGCTTTGTTTTCATTCCTCCCAATCGGTACTACTGAAATACTGCTTTTCAGGGTCAAATGACTGCATGGCAGCTTCTGCTTAGCTGTCTCTAAACTGTAGGGTTTTTTCCCCAAATTTTTGGAGGAGCATTTATTAAAGAAGTGGAGAACAACTTTAATTTCAAGGGACATGCTTTTGCCCAGTCATGTGTAATTTGTGCAAAAAATGCAAAGTCTGGGTATATCTACAGAATGGATGTAAATAATGTCTGTTAATTTGTCTTCAGTTATGCTGCCTTTGTTTTCCAGTACCATCCACCCTTGATTCCCCCCCGGGGAGAAGTAAATGCAGCAGATGCTTTTGATATTGGGTCATTTGATGAAGAGGACACTAAAGGCATTAAGGTATGCAGCTTTAGGGGATGGGTAGACAATGGCACTGTGACTGCTGCGCTTAACTTGTCACGTGTGCCTGCCAGTTCCGTTCCTTTGCTTCAGGGGCTACTGAATGTGAGAGGAATTGCTTTCAGGTTTGGAAACTTAATCCATGCTGTTACTAAAGAGGTGGCTTGGGCTGGCCGGCTGGTTTGTTGTTGCTTGCCAAGTCCTTATGTTTTAGTTTTTAGATTGACTGGAATCTGCCTTCCTGTCAAAAGTTTTATGTGATACAGCAAACAATTCAAATGGTCAGACAACTTTTGGGAAATCCTCAGATTTTCAAGAATACTTAATGGTTTGTAGTTTTAAAAAAACCTCATTTGTTTCTGGTAGCTTGGATAAACTGAACTGAACCTTATTTTAACAGTGTTACCTCATGGTCAGAGAGTGCAGTGGAAGACTCTTAAAAATGACAAACTGTGTGTTAATGGTAGCAACTTTATAAGGTAGAAAAGTGGTAAAAGAAACTTTCGTGTTCTGATATTATCCAAAATCTAGTGAAAACAATGTAAAGAAAAAACCCAAGAAGTTAAAGCTGCTGGCCCATTTCTGGCTTGGATGGAGGTGCTGTGATGTGCCCTGCCTGTTCATCCCCTCTGCGGAAACTTCCCTGGTGCTTCGAGACAACACATGAATCAGTGCTTGTCTTGGGTCTGTTCTGGACATTATTTTTGTCATACATTTCTACAGTAGATGAAACTTTGTTCTTGTTATTACAGAAGTGAGTCGAGAGAGAAACTAATTGCTCTAAACTCTATAAGCAAAAAGCCATGTGAAGTACTCACCGTGCCTAAAAAGGAACATGTCTGTCAGTGTCACCTGCTATGATTACAGAAGCTCTCACAGAAAAGCTTTTGTGTGTTTGAAGAGAAATGCAGAGAGCCCAAGATGTTCTTTATCCCAGAAAAACTCCCCTTCTTCAGTGTCAGTGTTAGTCTAACAGGATCCCATGCAGTTCTGGAGTGCTGTAACTTGGAAGGGATGTTTTGCAAGGAGAGGCCAGGTGGTCGTTTTATTTGTTGAGGGAATCAGATATTCTCAGCAAGGCCTGTAGATCGTATAGCCTGATCGCTTCCATGCAATCTTTGTCCAGGCTGCCTGTAAGGTAAATGTATTCCTAGTCATGAGTCAGCGAGGGGTGTCATGTACAGCTTCTCTGTGCCTTCACTGCGATGTCACAGGCTTTTAGAAGGGACTGAATAATTCCTGCCTCCGAGTCAGCTGCAGTTGGAGCTTCCCTTAAGGTGTCGGGAGCTGTCGCTGCCCATGAGGATGCCAGATTTGAGTGCCTTGCTCTCCTCCATCGCCCCTGCGGATTATATTGACACCGCAGAGTGTCCTGTGACTCCGAGAGGAACACGTGTTCTTTGAGGTGACGAACTGGAAAGCCAGCGGTGGGTGCCCGTGGCTTTTCCCTCTTATTCAGATGCCGTAAGGAGTCCCCGTAAGCCACTCGTGCAGAATTGCAGAGAAGCCTTCTGCCTTCCGATCCAGCGTGGGTTCCCTGCGCTGATGCAGCTGTGGATCTCTGAAAAGGAGGAGAGTGTCTTATCCTGGGAGTGTCTGGCCTGGCTGTAGGAGGAGAATGGAGTCAGGCTTTCCTATCCCGCTCCTGCAGCTGCTGGGTTTGCTCTGAGCCGCAGCGTGCTGCGGGCCCTGGAGTCGGGGC